TTTCCATTCAGCTCGATTCTTTTCCTCACCGACCACTAACATCATTTCTCCCACTTCTGGACACGCATTTTCCCCTTTAATCACTCGATGATGTTCCATCAAACTATGTACGTACTCCGTCTTCCATCTTTGCCACGCGTGTTCTCGTTTCTGCTTCATTCGTTTGTGTAACTTCACGACTTCTCCATCATCCGTGTCTGATTCGTCAATGGTATGCACATTTTGTCCCCACAGAATTGTATTTGGTGTGAGCACTTGTTCCTCTTCTTGCTCGCTTTCGACGTACGTCAGTGGTCTATTGTTTACATTTTTCTCAATATCAATTACAATAGCTTGTAACTGGTCAAAAAATAATGTCGATCTTCCCAGGACTTTATACAGGGCTTTTTTAATGACCTTAAGTAAGCGTTCGTACATTCCACCCCATCAAGGGGACTTGGATAGATTGAATCTCCACCGAATCTCTTGTCTTGCCAAATAATCTTGCAGTCGTTCACTTTTACGTATCTTTCTGATCCATAACGCTGTCGCTTTAAACGCTCCTCCGTTGTCCGACACAATCAACTTTGGTCTGCTCTTTCTTGCGATGAAGGCCTTTAGCTTTACTTTGAATTCCTCTGCCGATTGTGTCTTCGTCAACTCCAGATGCACGGCTCTGGATGTAGCACATGTAAATATTAGGATGTAGCACTTGCCTTCTTCTTTCTTGGTAAGCTTATATGTGAGGGGACCCGCGAAATCAACACCCGTTGTTTCAAATGGTCGTCCGCTTTCGATTCGAAACGTAGGTAGTTCGGCAGTTGCTGTACGACCATATGGTTTGACTCGGTACGCTTTACATACGTTGCATTCGTTAATGATCCTTTTAACTTTCGAGCGCAGTCTCGGAATCCACCAGTTCTCTCTTAGTGCGGCCATCGTGTTCGCGATACCAAAATGACGTATCTCATTGTGTGTATGCATGATCAATTTGTCCGTAAAGTCTCCTCCTTCCAAGTATATCGGCTGATACCCGGGAATTCGACCTTTACATTTCAGTAAACCAGAATCACCTTCTCGTATGACTTCCCATCCAGGTGCTCGTAGCTCCGAACTCATGTCTTCTTGGACCTTCTTCACCCATCGCACTTTCGGATGTTCTAGCTCGTTCGTCGTCAGCGGACCTTTCGCTAGGTTAGTTTTCTGTTTTCTGGCTCTTGCATTGCTTACAAATCTTAACGCCCACGCAGTAACACGAATAGTCTTCCAGTAGTCCCATTCGTCCGGATCTTTTTCTTGCGTATTGAAAGCTACTTCCGTCATCTGCTTTTGCTCGTCCAGGACAGTCTTTGTTCTCTCGAGCTTTGGTTGTTTTGGCCATTTGTCTTGGTTAACTAGCCACTCGGGACCATTAAACCAACCGTCCTTTTCCATTTTGTCGATCGAAGCTCCCCGACTCCCTAAATCAGCTAAATTTTCCTCGGATGGACAGTACTTCCAACTGATGCCTACTTCTTCCGTAATTTCAGCAATCTTCCGCGTCCGATTTGATACAAGACTTTCCAGGATCTTTGTGGGCTTGCAATCCAAAACAAAGCAACCAGGCTGTCCATCCACACTGTAACTGATGCAATTGGCCATCTTCTCAATGCGGCAACCAAATTCTTAGCCATATTGGCAGCCATCTGACCGCTAACTAATTCCAGCCTTGGTATGGAAGTGTTTCTCTTGGCAATTCTGGACTTTGACGTAAGAAGACCTTTAACTATTCCACTGGAATGTTCGATTACTGCTATACTGACCGCCGGCACGCTGTGAAACTTGCATCAGCAAATAAATGCAAACGTATAGCTTTCACCTTTCGAATCTCCCTTGCTAGACTTCTCGGAATTTTCACGTTTCTTAACTGTTGTCGCCACTTTATCCAATCTTTGGACGTGCTGGTAGATACTTCTGAATTCCAGCCGACTTTCTCATCACACGCTTCTCTATAGATGCGCTTCCCTTCAACCATGGTCGGCGATATTATTCCCAAAGGGTCATATATGCTACTGAGTTCCTTAAGAATATGTCTCTTTGTCACTGGTGTTTCTTCCTTTGTAGTTTCTGCTCGAATCTCAAGTGTATATTCTCTCTTATTCCATTTATGTCCGAGTATTTTGCTGGGATTTGATTCGTTGTCAAGTTCTTCGACATTCGACTACCACTTGTGGACTGGGAACTTCGCGTCTTCTAGGATTTCTGTCGCTTCGCGTTTGAAATCTTCAAGATCTGCAATATCACTTCCGATCTTCATTAGATTATCAACATAAGTGTTCTCTTTTAACGACTCAATGGTGTTTTGGTACTTTTCTGGCTGCAGATTGAAGTGGTGTTGCAGGGTGGCACCAAGCATAAATGGGCTGGCTTCCACGCCGAAAGGCACACGAGTAAATCTTAAATGTTCTACTTGACCGTTAATGTCAAACAGAAACCGAAACGCATCTCGATCATCTTCCTTCAAACCAACCTGCAGAAACGCCTTCTGCAAGTCTGCGAGTAGTAGATGGGTTGACATCCTGGCTCTGATTAATATGTCCCATAACAACGGTTGAAGTGGGGGGCCAGTGTGCATGCATTCATTGACGCTATTGGCCTTTGGATGGGGTCTGGTACTGGCATCGAACACCATTCTCACCTTGGTTGTAGAGGCATTTCTTTAATCACCGGTTTGTGTGGCATGTAGAACACACGTTCACTAGTCGAGCTCTCTTTGGTCTTTTTAATGACTCCGTCTTTCAACTGTTCATGCACAATTTTCTCGTATTCATCTTTGAGCTGTTGATTCTGTTTCAACTTCCTGTTTACATTGTGGAGTCTCTTCCTACTGGGTTCTTCATTAGCGTTTGACAATACAGCTCCAGGTATCCATGGAACAGCAACTTCGTATCTTCCATCCTCTTTCCTAGTGATGCTTTCTTGGAATTCTGCATAAATTGTTGACTGATCTTTCTCCCCTCGATCCTCTACTCCCAAGACATCTAGGGAATAGAGCTGTTCATAATCACTATGGTCACAAACATACATGCACCTTGAGTCTGCGTAATCTTGGCCGCCATGAACTACCCAACCGAAGGTCGTTCCTTCTACAATCGGATCCTCTGATTTTCCCTTGTAGACTTGATCAGTCCGTATTTTGCAATAGGTAGCATCGCCCAATATGACATGGATGGGATACTCTTCGCTTTCTGACCGGTAGAATGTTTTCTCGCGAAGATGCTCGTATTTCTCCTTTAGCTCTATGAAAGTCGGTCTTTTCACAGTTGTAAAATCTGGCATTTCTGTACCAGTAATCTCGATATTCTCACTTGCCCGTCCATCAACTGAATTGATTGTTACTTCAAACACTGACATTGATGCCTTTTTGGACCCGTTTACAGTTAGGATGTTTCTACTCTCATGGCGCTGGGGTGATAGTCTTAATTGTCGCACTGCTTCCTTCGAGATGAAATTTCTCCCAGAGCCCGTGTCGAGATACGCCCAAAATGTCTTACCCTTAATTTTAAGTGGCACAATAGCTGGTAAAGACTTCTCTTCAGAGGATGGGGAATATCCGTTTAACATTGCGTTGTGGTTTTCTCGATTATTGTTTTCCTGCAGTTTATCACAAAGGCTAGTGTGATGTTTGCCCTTGCACTTGCAGCACCCCCTACTGCGACATTTACTTTCGCGGTGGCCTGGTCGACCACAATTAAAGCACAGTCGTTTTTCAACAAAGAACTGTCTACGCTTAGTCACAGAGTCATACGATGTGCATTGGTCTCCCCAGTGCTGTCCTTCGCAATAAATACAGACCGGGCCCTTGCCTTTACCATTGGTAAACTCTCCCCCTTTTGGGTATGCAAGTTTCGCTCCCTCTTTCTTGGGTTTTCATACTCCTTAGTTGATACCTCTTCTGTTTTGTTACGCTTCAACCACCCCTGTAATGCTGATAACAATTGTTTCATGTTCCAATCTTCCCAATTATCATCCATACGTACTAAATCAGGCTTAACCTGGGGGAGTTTATTTAAAGTAGATACCACCAACCCCTTTAACATAGCTTCTTCACTCAACGTTTGCAGTGCGTCATAGTTTTTGCAAAGACTTTCATAAAATTCACATACCTTATCGTAATTTCTTCCTCTCACCGTCTGTAACTTAATAATCTCCTCCATATGAGCTGCAATTACTAATTTATTATGACCATATTCCATTTTCAACCTTTCCCATGCTGTTTTGTAACCTTCTGACCCCGGCTTCAAGTTCGAAAGTCTACCTCTCACCCTCGGATTCACAAGCTCTAACAGGTACCCAAATTTCTCAGCGTCCGATATGGACTTGCTGTCAACTTGTGAGGAAAACATATTCTCAAACCTTATCCAGTCAGCAGAAGTGCCATTAAAGGGTGATATTTTCAACTCTGGCAGTTTCGATGAACTTGCTTTAGCTTCTTTCTCCATCTGAATTTTCTTCTCTGCCAGCACTAACTCCGCTCTCATTCTTTCTTCCCACATTTCTTTCTCTTGTTGTTGGATCTGCCTACGTAGTTGCTCTTCTTTCTCCATCTTTCTGATCGTCACTTCTTCCTCAGCTCTCAAGTTTTCATGTCTCTGTCTATCGTCTAGTACCCTACACAACCTCGCACGTTTCTCACATAGTGGTGCATACTCTGCTTTCAAATCTCTTGTCCACTGTCTAATAGATCTTTGTGTTGAATTTCCCAGCTCAATTTTTAATTCTTGTAAATGCGACACCAAGTCGTTCATATTATCCTGAATCTGCTGTGTTCGCTTGCATACTTGTTTGATTTCATTAAAATCCTCACTTTCCAATAATTCGTCGACGTCCTCGAAATAAAACTGCAGCTTTTCAATCTCTTTTCTAATCTTTTTCTCCTGGTCTTTCTCCTCCTGAGTGATTTCTACCGTATTATTCTCCTCAATTTCTTGTTGTTCAAGTTCGTCCGCCATCTTGGATTTCGTAATACCCTCAATTTCTCGTCTTTATCCGCAAATATTTCGTTGTTCAATCCTGGTCACGGCACCAAAATGTGCCGAACTTGTGTCGGCACACCAAAACTCTCGTATTATGTTTTAGTAAAGTTTAATAAACTATAAAAACTCCCACTTTTTACACAAAACTCTCGCTCACAAAGTCTCACATGTTCGTTGTTTTTCCCGATACTCAGGTCGCCCGCGAACAGGCTTGTTTCCCACAGGTAACCCAATACCCCTATCTATAATATGTTCGTTCAAGATTAATGGACCTATTCCCAAATGAACAAAATTTTGATCTAGACAAGTCTAGACAAACATATCACCACAGCTTGAAAGAGCATCACAAAATTAGTAATATTCCGAAGTTTCGTTGCGAAATGTTGTAAAATGCGGATAATATAGCACTGCGAAGTTTGCCGTTTTTCAGTCATTTTGTATTACGCGCTGGAAATTGATACCGCTTTCCGAAAAAAGGTATCAATTTCCCGCGCGTAATACAAAATGACTGAAAAACGGCAAACTTCGCAGGGCTATATTACCCGCATTTTACAACATTTCGCAACGAAACTTCGGAATATTACTAATTTTGTGATGTCTATTTAGTTTGTGAATATTACTAATTAGTCTGCTGTTTCTCCGCAGCTCCAGTGGGGGGGGGGGATGCGAAGATATAAATTTAACGTCGTTTGAGTGGTGAAAAGACTTTTTTACGAACGAGCGCAGCGAGTGAGTAAAAAATATTGTTTTCAGTTTTCACCACGAGAAGATAAAACAGTAATAAGATATGAAACTTCAAGTCACCGTGTATTTAATGTTCTTTTTATTATATAGTTGTTAGTAAAAATAACAAGGAAAATTAACACTTAATCGATATCTTCACTCCCCACATCAACGAAGAAGAATGTTAATTTTAAATAAACAGTGTGTTTTATTACATTTGTTTCATTTTATGACTTTATGTCAACATAGTTCAATTTGAAACTAGCAGCCCACTTTATAGAGAATAGATAACGAACAAAAGGAAATAAAATTGTTTTCATTTCTTACAGATTGGTGGCATTTAATCAACCTGGCCCAAAATAAGCCCGCAAGTCAATCTGCAACGTGAAATAATGCTCCAGCAAGAAGAGCGGTTGATGGTAACAAAAATTCCGATTTTCATCAATATTCATGTACGCACACACCGTCGTGGACGAACTCCCCATGGTGGCGAGTGGATTTGCAGAATGTGGTAGGTATACCAGGGACCCTATTCCAGTTAAAGCCGGGGTCCCTCTTTAGCACGAAGTTACGCCACTACCCACTGGACATAACCATGGATTGTAAAATAACTGGATAGGAAACTTCCTGACGTCACAGTCTAAACCTAGTTGCAATCTGTGACGTCACGCGTATTGCCAAAGTTCTCAGCATTTTTGTTTCGCTATATTTCCCGCTTTAAAAGAGTAATATTGAAGCATCAACTGGTCTAATTGTTTTAAAAAAATGCCTAAGCCACGACAAAGTATTCAAGGTAAATGTTTTTCGTCTTTGTTTTGTATTTTTTTTACATTTGTAGCTACGAAATTGGCGTAGCCAATTTTAACGAAATTTGCGATGCATTTTTCACTGTTTAGTGCTTGAAATATTTGCTAAATTTGACTGGAAATACTTCATCGTAGAATGGCGTAGTTATATTCAGTTGCTCTTTGACTAAAATGTTTTGCTGTATTATTGCTAAACATGCCGTTTTTGAGAATTTGGTTTGCAACTAGGTTTGAACATCCAACCACGCCCATTGAAAACATTAGGTCACGTCAGCTAGTTTCCTATCCATTTATTTTATTATCCATGATATAACATACCGCGATACAATATGGACGCGAATGTTGTAAATGGCTTATGAAACGTCTCGATGAGAACGTTCGTATTCTTCAACATTTTAAAATAAATGAATGATATTCGGTGAGAAAATTGAACTTAAAGTTTATGTAAATCAGCATAATTCTGTATCAGAATTCAGATATGTGGGGTGTCTAAATAAAAGTGAACTTTAGAAATTCACCTTTGTTATAATTTGAATGTCTGAGTCCTACTTTATACATGGGAAGTTATTTAAACGTTTTTGGTATCGTTCAATATATGAATGTGATTATGTCAGTGGGTTCAGACTATGGGTTCAGACCGGGCGAACCCAGGCCCCCCCCCCCCCACCACAATGGGCTAAATGGGGGGGGGGGGCACGCTGTAGAGCAAAAACATTGGCTAGCAAGGCCTCTGATATGTTACAATGTCGTCTTCTGACCATTAGAATTGTGCAAAATCTGTCCCCGAAGTCCGGGAAATGGCACTATTTCAGAGACTCTATAGATTAAAACATTTTCCGGGTAAGCATGCCCTGGGCCCCAAAGAAAACTCGTGCATATACGGCGCTCGACTCGTGCCTTTGGCACTTCTCCTAGTCCTAGGGGGGCCTTCGAAAATTTGGAACCCGGGGCCCCCTGAGATAGCGTTACGCCACTGGTTATGTGCTGATGAATTTAACGCAGCGCGTAAAACAGTAAAAACTCTTTGCTCATTGAAACATTTTTAATCGTACTGACAGGACCAATTTCTAAGTCGTTTTAACTTTCAGTTAGAATTTTCATGTACAATTTATGCAGTTTTAACATGCTCGTACGATTACAATGCATTCTAAACTCCCAGAGGTAATGAAGTTTGGGTGTTTACAACAAAAGGGTAATTTCTAAATGACTAAATGTTCATTTTTTGAGACATGTACAAACTCCTTCACGCTCATGATTTCTTTTGACAGTTTTGTGTTTTCCTCATAAATTATTAATGAGTTTCACAAATATATACACACAATTAAAAACATCTTTCAAATCAAGTAGGTACAATTGAAGTCTTTTAGTCTTGAGTCGGGCCGACAATTTTAGGCTTATACGAAACAAAACTTAGGGCCAGCATGTTCACTGATATGAGCCGCCGTCATTAGCGAACTTAAGGCTTAACCCACTGATCTAATAGTGGCTTAACCTAGTACGGAGACCTTTGCCTCGTACCCAGGCGCTATGTGTTGTTATATGGCTTGCGTGGCCTTTGTGTGGATTAAATCCATTTCCCCCACACGTGTCGTCCCGCGTGCGTGTCGCGCGACGGTGTAGCACAACAAAGCGTCTGGGTACGAGGCAGCGCGGAGACCTGCTGACAGGTCTTCAGTAAATTTTACACGTCAAAAGCTATGAGCTACCGTTTCTTGGAACCTCAAAGAAGGAGGACAGAAATGCAACGACAACGGCTACTAATACAATGAAGTTCATAATATTCTAGAAAAGGAGGTATTAATTAAAATCTCGCTGGGGTTCTAGACGTCGTCCCCGTTCCGTTTACAACGGAAAATCACGGATTATTACGTCTTGTGTACAACGGCTGCGACAACTGCTATTTCATATTGGGTCCTAGAACTATTCTCAATCATAAAGTCCTGCATTTGAAGCATGCCCCCAGAACACCCACCCCCGTCAGGTCTAGAACTCTGCGTAGTTAAAAACAGTCAAGTATAGTCGACAGATCTGACAGTTTTTATTGTGAAAGTGCATGGAGACTGATATGCAATGACTCGGCACAACTATACGTGACCCCCCCCCCCCCCCCC